CAGCGGGGTGGGGCCTGGCTGCGCTGCAGCCAGCTGCTGGGGACACGCAGCCAGAGCTGAGCTGCCGCGGCCCTTTAAAATCGCCTGCCGGCATCCCGCCTCCTTGCGCCACAGCTATACGTGGCAGCCTGGCACTGAGAACCGCCTCAGTTCCCCCTCCCTGACAAGGCTCTGCTCCTCCGCTGGCCAGCGGATCGGATGGGGCCGCGCCGCCTGTAGTCATCAGGCTTCAACCATCCTGTTACAACGGCCCACCGGGCCAGTCTGCCCCTGCATTCGATCGCCTGCCGGCATCCCGCCTCCTTGCGCCACAGCTATACGTGGCAGCCTGGCACTGAGAACCGCCTCAGTTCCCCCTCCCTGACAAGGCTCTGCTCCTCCGCTGGCCAGCGGATCGGATGGGGCCGCGCCGCCTGTAGTCATCAGGCTTCAACCATCCTGTTACAACGGCCCACCGGGCCAGTCTGCCCCTGCATTCGCCGTCTGGCAAAATCTACTCGCCATAGGCGAGCAGGCGAGTGTATTTGTTGAGCCCTGCTGATAAGTATGCTGAGAAAGTTCTGTTATTTTCAATCTCAAAACTAGCCATTGCCATAGAAGCCCTGTGTCAGAAGTAGCAATTGATATAGCTTTACACTGCAGGTCCCCTTTTGGAGTGCTGAAAACTGTGGGGCAGACCCTCAGCTGGTATAAATTGTCATAACCCTATTGAAAATCAATGGAGGATTTGTCTGTTTCTTGTTTGGTAAATAAACCTTTCAACCTTCATTTTCTAAGTGCAAACATACAAAACATCTTTGAACCAGCCCTCTATTATTTCAATATCTTGGTTCTTGCATTCAAAGCCATCAGTGGGTTAGGATGCAGTTTCATAATGTTCACTTCTGCATTCCATAATGCTCTAAAACGGCTCATCTCATCTTCTTTGCAACAGTGCAATTGACAAAGCACATGAGAACTGAAGTCAGAATGTACTGAGAGAGATTTTAGCTATGGAATTCAGGGTCTGACCGCTTTCAGGCAGTGTTGCAAAATCCTCCTCCTTCTGCTGGAAAAGCTGTCTCAAACTTGGTTAATTGGGAAGAAGAAAGAATGAGATCTAGACACAAACAAAATAGATCCTGATCAGACCTTCTTCTAACAGGGAAAGGAGAAGAGCAAAAGACTTAAGTCCAATAGAAGCTTCAATATACAGATTGAATAGACTTGGGAAGAACCTAAATACTACACTAGTGGGCACTATAGAATGCCCTAAGATAGATAGATACATAAAGCTAGAAAGATTGATTTAGTATAGGCTTTATTTCCTGCATGGTGGTAGTTTTGCAGCTATAGCCTTTGTGAAATGGTAAAGACAACCTTACCTGGAAAGCAAGTTGTATTCTCTCAAATTCCTCATCTATACCAAATCTGCATTCACTTGAAATGCCAAAATGGATGCTGCTTACAGTAGATTAGATGGAGGTCATCCTAAGATAATCACTGTCAAATTCTTTGACAGCTAAATGTTGTTTCTCTTTGTTGTATATTTTAATTGGTTAATATTATTTAAATTCATTTCTCTCCGTATAGCCACAATTTTAGTCAAGGGTATTTTTAGTAAAAGTCCTGGATTAGTCATGGGCATTAAACAAAAAATCATGACCTATGACCTGTCCATGACTTGTACTATATATCCCCGACTAAATCTTGGGCACTCTGGGGCAGAGGATGGCCCAGAGGTGTTTGGGGTTCTCTGCGGTCATGGGCAGGTCAGAGACCCTGCAGATCCTCTGGGGTATAGGGCTCTGTACCTGGTTCCGCAGCACAGGGTGGCAGCAGCCCCTATCCATGGACAAAGGCTGCTCGGGGATGAGGGGAAGGGGCGTCCCTGCCCTCCCCTAGTGCTGTTCCCTCTGTGTAGAGGCAGCGGCAGGGGAGGAGGCAGGCGGCTCAGTGGACCCGGCATGCGTGGAAAGCCGGCTTCCCACATGTGCCAACTCCCACCTGCCCCCCTCACCTTCCATGCTGCTGTCTCTTTATCAGAGACATATGATATATGACTACATGTTGACATCCCTAATGAAAACCAATCTCATCAAATGAGGAAAACGATAAATATTTCTTGGGTTTTTTGTTTGTGTCACAGGCTTTTCTGGTATTTATGTATACGATAATGTTTATATACAATATATAAAATGCACATAAAACTTACTATCTTGAATTGGGGGCAGGAACCTTCTAAACTGTAAAGTTTTCCCAATCAGATTGTTTCTGATTGACCGGCCACATTGCCTTTGAGAAGGCTTTGATTTATTTAGAGGAGTGTGCTTTGCCAGGTATGAAAGACCATTTTGACTCATTCCATTAATCTCAGTACAGATTGCCGATTTCATCTCTTGTCAATTCTGAATGAAAAATTAACATTAATCTAAACAAAGCCAGATGTTTCCATTTCCAAGTCAGTTTAGATTGTGAAATCTCTTCATTGTTAAACTGTGTCATAGTCCTTGTAAGGTCACTTCTCCAGCCCATCAATTCGTTACCCTCCTTTGTCTTGTGACTTTCATTTTCCAGCTTTTATTTTACACTTACTTATAGTCTTTTATGTCACTTCATACTCTAGTATTGGGCAAGGGAAATGTGTTCTTTACCTTTCCTTTTTTATTTTTCCAATTAACCTTCCTTGGAATTTAATTTAATTTCTTTTTCTCTAGTGAAAATGGAGCAGACACTTTTCTTATTGTCTCATTCACAAGAAAAACAATGACTCTTTTTTTTTTTTTT